TAGATAGATAGACGATAGATAGATATAGATAGATAGATAGATAGATAGATAGATAGATAGATAGATAGATAGATAGATGATAGATAGAGCAAAATGGGGTGAAAGGAGTTATTTTCCCATTTCAGAAGTATATCTAGAAGTTAGAAAAAGTTAAATAGTGTTTCATATGAGTATAAATCAATGACTAAGACTTTTGNAAGAAAGAAAGAAAGAAAGAAAGAAAGAAAGAAAGAAAGAAAGAAAGAAAAGACATAAAGCCCCGGGGACATACAGGGTGTTACTAGAAACGCCCGTGCTGCTGACAATCACTGGTGTTCTTGGAGCAGCCTGTATCAGTGGGGAATAGGTGGTCAGGTACATACGCCAGTGTTTCCTGTGTGGCCTGCTGACTCACTAATTAGTAAGTTGGGGTTCCAGTTAAGTGACAATGTTTGGGGCTGGTCTTTGTCTGGGTGAAGAATGATTACAGGGTAGCTGGTCCAAGTTGCCCTGTTTGTCCCTGTTACTCGCTGAGGGGCATTGTTTATACCAAAGTGTGATTGACAAAAGTAAAGAAGACATCAAAGGGTGTGAACACGTGCTTCCTATGGGGAGTATATGCCATGCCCTGCTGTTTGATGTTTTAGATAGACGTGGCAATGCTAAAGGGAATGGCTATTAAATTGTAATGGATACGGTTGGGATGACAGAACATAAGGTTCTTACAGCGATTTGGGAGAGAAGCATCAAGGCATGTTCAATGGATGGGGGAGGCTTCAGGACAACTCTGAGAGAGAAAAAAATAGTATCATGAATGCCCTCCTCCCTCTATGTCTCAAAATCAAAGGTGCTGCTTATGTTCACGACAGTTTCTGGTCTGCTTTGCCACAGTAAAACCAAGGCGTCCGTAGCCTCACCTAGGTTCCATTTACTCATTATTCACATCAAGCGTCTTTGTCCAGAGGCTCAGGCACAAGAAGGACGAGTACTTTACAATGAAGCCTACAGAAATCCTGGAGGACCCCTCTTGGGTGCATACAACCTCCTGTGGGAGGACTCAGTGAGCAGAACACTCAGCCACAGCTTATTATCTCGGACCATGTCAATTCAGTAAGTCAGACTACAGAGTGAATCCAGTTGGCCTGGTGTTGCCATTAAAGGAATAATGACCATCACGCTCCATGATGGTCAGGGCAGAACCCCAAACTTAAAATAAAAAAATAATCATCCTTATGCTCTTTTGTCCAGAACATTACCCAGGAGCGGCAGAAAGAGGATTTCATTCTGGAGAAGGCTTCACTAGGGGCCAAACTGCTGTACAGAGAAATGTGACCTCGGAGGAGGTGAGGGAGAGATTCAGAAACTTTCTTAAAATTAAGGTGTTTTTTTTTTTTTGAAGTAGTTGTAGGTGCACAGGTAGTCAGCAGGCACAACCTGAAGATATTCGTGGCTCTATTACCCACTTCAGCTTTCCTATGCTGTACCATGTTGTTTCCTAGCAACACCCTAGCACAGCCAAGAGACAGAAAGTTTCCAGCACCACGAAACTTCATACGACGCCATTTTATAACCACACCCACTTCCTTCCCACCCCACGCCTTCCTTAAACCTGAACAACCACTTGTCTGCTCTGTTTCTCAATTTTGCTACTAAAAAATGTTACTTAAATGTAATCATAAAGCATGTATCAAACATTAAACATGAAGAGCTTTTTCTTTTCTTTTTTTAAATTTATTTATTTCTTTATTAATTATTTTAAGATTTCTGTCTCTTCCCCACTGCCGCCTCCCCTTTCGCTCCCCCTCCCCCAATCAAGTCCCCCTCCCTCATC